CAAAGAAATCTGCATTTCCGGCTTGACATGAACGATATTATCTAAACAATATGTACCAGAAGTTGTGAATTTGCTCGTATAACAAGAATGAGGTAGAAAATGGTCAAAAAGTGGCCAAAATGGTATAAGAATCGGTTTTAAACGCTTTTTTGGAATTTTAATGGGTAGGATGGCATACTATGGGAAAAAGTCGAGAGCGAAAATATGGTTGTCCAAAATTGGATGAGTAAAATTATAATTTTTGCTCAATTTGTGATTTTTTTTGTTTTTCAGCAGCGGGTCCCAGAGTGCACTGATCAGTTTCTTCTGATGATCGAAGCAATCACCGAACGCTATCGTCTCATTGAGAGCTTAGACGTGCAATCGCAATTTTTGAATGTGCAGGTATTTTTTCACGATATGTCTACTAAGAGTTGTGCTTCTCGCTGACCCTGATTATACTATGATTCAAAATGCCGGTCTCGAAGATCATGCTGAAATTATAGTCCCAGCCGAGGCAAAATATTTTTTTAGGGGTTACTGCTGTTAAAATCTGCATAATCCTCTACTTCTGGTTTTTTTTTTTTTTTTCAGATCTTTCTATTAGATGATTTTCGATTGCGCCTTGCACAGATCTCGCAACAGCTGTCATCTCCGTGGGAAGAACCATTCATTCAAATTCTAAACTGTGCCTGGTAATCGCTGTTCCAGTAAAACATTTTCCGTTTCGGCCAATATTCATTTGTAGGGCGAAGAATGAGACAATCGCACAATTAGAGCAAACAGTGCTAAATACAAGCTGATTTACTGTACAATAAATGGTGAACTGTGGCTGAGTTTGGCGTGGCGACCATCCTTCGAACTGTTCATTAGAGCGCACCACGATAAAACCCTGCCCCACTACAGTTCGCTAATTCGTTTTAATTAGACTGGAAATCAAATAAATTTATCTTACCGAGGAAGAGAACTGACTGCTTTTCCGGTAGCTCATTGTTGATGGCAAGTGTTTTGCCTTTGGGTCCTTTCCTGATTCTTTAGCCTGTTACTGAGAAAGGAGCCTCTGATGGAACCAAAGATATTCTGTGAATGAGAACTTATGCATTATAAACTGAAATGCCTTGAATATTTGGAAGAACAGTAGTTCATAATGTGACTTTTCCCTGTGTAACTAGCAGCTTTCCTAGTTTTCCCGGGTCCAGTCTACTGGCGATCCTAACGTTCGTTTTTTGAACGAATTTTTACTGTCTCACCAGCTCTCCCGATAAATCCATTCGACTGGACTTTAATTGTTTGGAATTGTCCTTGACGTACTTTAAGTTTCACCATATATCCTGGTTATTGCCACTTCGAGACTGCGCCGAAGTATTTGCGGACCGGGAGTTATTAATTAGTGGTACAGTAGAGGTAAGGCAGTCTGATACATAAAGTTATATCTTCATAACTCCGCATCATCTCTGAGCCCAGCTACTGTGGAGGGGCATGTAAATAACAGAAATAAGTAAATTTGGGTTTTTTGCAAGCTAAAAAAATTCAAAAAACACTTTTTTTTTGCTAAAGTTTTCATCTTTTTTTTAAACGTAAAAATTTGAAGTTGAAATTTCAGCAAGTTTTTTTGTGGATCATTTTGTTCCAGGTATATTGCATATGTGCTAGACGAATGGAATGAAGTGGACATATTCATACGTATTCAGGCATGCGGCAAACGAGCACATTTTCGCGGGGTTTTTGATGATGTAGCCGATATGTACAGGCACATATGGCAACAGAGAGCCAGAGATCTTACTGTTGCTTTTTATCAACATATTCGCGCACGGATTCGTCGTTACGAACGCGAAAATTGGTGAATTCTTTTCGACTTACTACGTCACTTGCGTGGAATTAAATATAATTTATCGCGTATGAGGAGAAAAAAATGCAACTGAACTTTAACTAAATGAACGCA